TAAATTATAATAAATATAGTATTTATATATAAATATATAAATTAGTATTAGAGAGTATATAGTATTTATAGTATATTTATTATAAATAAATAATAATAATATTATTATTATTATTAGATAAGAAAGTAATATTGAAACGTTTTGAAAACGAATGAAAATAAAAAAAAAAATAAAAAGAAATAGAAAAACCCATAGGATATGAGATAGTTGATTGCGCTTGCGGATGGTGATGGTGTTAGTGGTGGTTCAAGGCGCGATGGTTAAAAGTATCACAACGGGGGTTGGTTGGTCGAGGGTTAAAGTTGGGTCGTTCGAATAAACGGGGGGATGGATAGATATAGAGCTTTTGCCCATTGGCTTGACGATGAAATACGAACGTTTCCGGAAAAACCCGAGATACGCTTACTCAGCTCTGACTCGTTGTGTGGTCCATTCGCGTTCAACACATTTTCATCGTTTGACGTGTTCGATTGATACAGAAAAATCAAGATAGAAAATAGAGAGTGAAAAAGAAAAGACAGACAGACAGAGAGAGAGAGAGATAGAGAGAGAGAGAGAGAGAGAGTGTACGGGTATATAAAAAAAGATACAAGGGTGCGTGTGCGCGCGCACGTGCTATTAAAAACGAGAAGAGAAAGAGAAACAGAGTAACAGAGATAGAAGGAAACTTTCGTCGAATATTTATTCGTCAAAAAAAAAAAAAATTAAAAAAAGAGAAAAGAGAGTGAGAGAATCTACGAGTCCTCTCGTATTCACTCGAACGTCATCGTGAAAATAATATTCTAGTCGTGTAATTTGTTTTCTTTTTTCTTTTTCTTTTTTTCTCTTTCTTTCTCATTCCCTTTTTTTTCCTACTTTTCTATTTTTCATCAAATCTTTTTTTCTACTTTCTTTTGATTACATTTTACTTTCGTCATCATCTACCTCCACCCCCTCCCCTTCCACTCCCCCCTCCCCTCCCCCACTCACCCCCATCATCCCCTCAGTGTTATCGTCGTGTGGTTAGTGTGCGAACGTAATCGAACGATGATAAGTGTCCGACAAGCAACTATGAAAGCTTGCATTCCGAGTTCAGTTGCCCACAGTTGTTGCACATAGAAAGAGAGAATGATAGTGTGTGTATATGTGTATGTGTTGTGTGTGTGTTTGTGTAAGAGAGAAAGATAAACAGATAGATAGATAAATATAAAAAGGAATAGAGATATCTCGCGTTTACGATCGTGTGTCGTGTTATTTTCTTTTTTGTCTGTTTGTTCTGTGTGTCTGTCTGTCTGTCTGTCTGTGAAAACATGATGTGTACGTGCGTGTGTGTGTGTGTGTGTGTGAGTGTATGTTTATTTATTTGTTGCAAGGTGTTTTTTGAAAGGTAATGTCACAGGTATATCTTTTGTTTGTATATGATGAGTACGCGACCAATACTAGGATAATATAACTCTGTATTTTATGTACAGGGTGTCCCATATAACTGCATTCACGATTTTTCAAATATACACACACACACACAGTATAGAAAAAAATACTTTAAATAAAAGTTAAATTAATTTTTGTTAGGTTGACTATACATTGCAATGAAAAAAAAAAAAAAAAAAAAAAAAAAAATAAAGGTTTGAAACAATTTTTGTTTGTTTGTTAATGTTTTTTAAGAATATCTTAAATATGTTTTTTAAATGACACGTTATATTTTTGACCTTGTCTGTAATATATGTGTATATGTGTGGGTGTGTATTTGGAATGTCATAAACGTCGTCAGTTTTTATTCATTTTTTATTTATTTTTTTTTTTATTACTGTATATATATAGATTTTTTTTAATACATAATACAAGTGTGTGTGTGTGTGGGGGGGGGTGGTTCATAATTGTTTTATTTTACAGTTAGTAGAAAAAGAGATTTGATTTTGATCGTATTTGTCGAAGATACGACCGACTGACAAAGGTTTTTTAATTGAAATTTTCCTCCCCCTTCCCCTTCTCCTCCTTCTCATCCTCCTACATCTCCTTCTGTCTGTTACTCCTACTCTTTAATCCCGTTTTATCGTCGTGATTGACCTTAGATCGTGCGAGAGTCGATTGTCTTCTGTTTTTTTTTTTTTTAATTTTCAATCCTTCTTTTTTTTATAACACACCCAGTATAATCTGTAGATACAGTTTTACTCAAATTGATATTTTACTCTTGAATGGAAATTTTGCAATTCTTTTTTTTATTTTATTTTATTTTTTTTTTAATTCATTTCATTTAATTCATTAAATTGTATTTCAATATAGGAAATATATAATTTATAATATTATAATAAATATATTAATTAAAATATACAAATTATATTAGATTAATATTAAATAAATTCTTAAATAATATTATATTAAAAATATATATATATATACTTAATATAAATTATAATAATATTATAATATATTAAATTATAAAACAATGAGTACATTAATTTTTGTAAAAAATATATTTTCAAACGATGCTCGTTTCATTTATTTAAATCATTAGATTATCATGAAATAAAATCATTCATATTTCAAAACAAAATAATTGTCATTAAATTTTAATTACATTGTTAATCATTAAATGTTTATTGATTTCAATTGAAATTGAGATAATTAAGATTGAAATTTATATCAATTCGATAAGTGTTTTATCGAGTTCATTAATACTTGGCAAAAGATCAATGAAACTTTCAACTTGTACGTTTATATATATATATATATATCTTTCTCTCTTGCCTGTCTGTTTGTCTGTCTGTCTGTCTGTCTGTCTGTCTGTCTGTGGTTCATCAAACGAACGTGTTTTAACGAGTGAACGATGTTGCTTGTTTACAATCTTTTTTTTTCTTTTTATTTTATCTTCTCTTTCAGTTTTATTGATTTACCATCGGCCCTTTTAAAAAGATCCAACCATTTATTTTCCCATCAATTACGAATCATCTTATTTATCTTAATTATCTTTCTTTTATTATATTTCTACAAATATATAAAATTAACAAATATAAAATATAAAATTTCATTACGTTGTTAATCAAATTTTTCTTCTTCTTTAAGTGAGAGCAAGAGAGAGAGACAGAGACAGAGACAGAGAGACAGAGAGAGAGAGAGAGAGAGAGAGGATAAATAAACCTGTGATAACATATATCTAGCGCCATCTTTCTTTGAGTTAGGTAAAAAACATCCAACCTTNATCTTAATTATCTTTCTTTTATTATATTTCTACAAATATATAAAATTAACAAATATAAAATATAAAATTTCATTACGTTGTTAATCAAATTTTTCGATTTATTTTAATAAATGAAGTAATTCAAATGATTTTTGTTCTTTTTTTTTTTTTTTTTTGTACAGTCAAACTTCGTTACATTAATTATCAAATTTTCAGATTGATTTATTACAAAAAAAAAAAGAAAAAAAACAGTAATTCATATGAATTTTATTTTTACAGTATTATATGTGTCCATAATTATGAAAGGTGGTCTAAGTCATATATCTCTTGTTTCGAGATGTTTAAAGATTTATACTTGAACTTGATCTATACTTGAATGATCTAACGATTTATTTTTAATAATATCGTTTTCAAATTACATTGAATTTATTTAATTTATAATAATGTAGTGCGTAATAACTGATAAACTAATTTTTTATTTATTAATTTTTATTTACTTAAACCACATTCATAATTATGGGCACATATGTAATTTATTTTTACTATTATCATAATCATTATTATCATACAACTTATTACGAGAGAAATATCAATCCTCATGAGACGACGATACTTTGAATTTTTAGGTATAAAAATCAATAAAAAAAAAAAAATAAAACAACAATAAACAACAACAACAACAAAAAAAAAACATTTTTCAAGAATAGTGCGTGGAATCTCTGAACCGTGTGTGCGTGTCGTTAAAAATTTCCCATTGAAAGTATTTTTATTCGCGAACAGGTAATCAACGATAAAGGACAATTGAGAACAGGAATAGATAAAAAAAAAGATAGAAAAAGAGAGAGAGAGAGAGAAATAGGTTCAGTGTGCGTGCTTGCGTGTGTGTGTGTACTTGCGTGTGTAGAGAAATAGAGAAAGAGAAATGGTACACATGGGAATCGCGGGTCAGTACTTCTCGGAATTGGAGCCAAATTTTAATGGCCCACCGAAAGCCATCGATCCAGCTGTGCGTGCTCGAAAGCTAGTAAGTAAACGATGATGATGATGATGATGATGATGATTCAGAATAGTTTCAATACAAATCTCTTCTATCATGTAACTGTGTATTTATCTCTGTGTATATATATATATGTGTATACATTTGTATTTATTTAGTTGATTAGTTTACATCATTTTAATGATGAAACGTGAAATGGTAAATTTTTATTTTATTTGTAACCCTATCAGTGTTGAATACTTTTAAACAAAATGTTTTGTAAGAATGAAAATAATAATTGATTAATTTTATTTTTATAATTAAATTAAATTATATTAAATTTATAATTAATTAAATTTAATAATTAAAGTTTTTCCTTTTTCTGAATATAATTTAATTTAATTAATATTAACAAACACTATGTATATGTGTCGATAGATCAATCTGGTAATTTTTATCAAACGCATATATGCGTCCATAGCAGTACTCTAAGGGTTAATATAAATCATATTTCACTAGGTCAATCATATTTTAATTATTCATTAATTAATAATTTATTTCATGATGTTATTAATAATTTAACTAGGTCAACTAATTTAATACAATTATTGATTCGTATGATTTATTTTTCATATAATTGACAAAATGTCATTATAAATGTAACATCAATTTTCTATGTGATCCATTTTGTTTGTTTTTTTTTTTTTTTCATCTCAATTTCATGCACATACATAATTCTCAATTATCGTAATTACCAACCTCGTATGTGCAGTTTGCTAGGAACAATGACCATTTACTTTTTCTTTTCTTTTCTTTTCTTTTTAAAGGAAACATCAAGAATTCGTATTACACATAAATTTTATTTAGAAAGCACATTATTATTATTATTATTATTATTATTATTATTATTATTATTGTATTAGTAGCACCGGTATACGTGTCCTTTTGTTGTTTACATATCCGACTACGCACGCCTTGTAAATGTCTAAACATATAATGGAAACATCATATATATATATATAGTAGGGACCAATTTCATGAGAGAAAAAGAGAGAACAGAAAAGTAGAGACAAGTTTTATTTTACCTTTTTTTTTTTATTCGTATACATGTGGTTTTAAACACACACACACATACTACACACGTATGAGAGTACAAAACCGCGTGTATGTATTTTATTCGGATTAGTGTATAATATAAGATGGAATCATGATTTTTATAGAGTTGTATATATATATATATATATATATATATTTTATTTAATTTAATACGCGTAAAAATAAAAAAGGGATTAATAATTGATGATTTAAAAATATTAACTCGTTGTGTTTAATGTTACATACATACATACATACATACGTTTATATGAAATCGATTGGTGCACCTCAACGTAATTGTAAAACATGTTACACGAGTAAGAATGATTAATTATTAATGACAAGTCACTTGTCGTCATACGCAATTGCACTAGATAGATAGATAGATAGATAGATAGATAGATAAATATAAACAAATAGAAATTAAATTTAACACTTTAATGGTTACACGTGTACATCGTCAAACGTCGATAATATTTTTAAAAAATTAATTTAAAAAAAAAAAAAACTTTATTGTTATTCATACAAAAAATTAAATATAAAACAAAACAAAAACACAAGTAATTTAATTTTATTTAATTTGAAATATTTCTATTAAAATATAATTAATAAATAATTATTAATAGAAAATATTAGATTGTCAAGTATGAAATGGGACAAAATTGAATTCAATTATGTGCATTTTTAATACAAATATAATTAATATATAATAAAATATAAATTGTAATAAAATGTTATAAATAAACGATTGTTTCAACTATCATACACACACACAATACACACACACACACAATATCATAAAATATAAATATGATAATGAATAAAATATAAATGATAATATAAAGTTATAAATAAAGGATTGTTTCAACTATGATACACATACGCATACACACACACATACATGTTGTATGAACGATCATTAAAGTGTTAATGTCAACGTTAAACCCATTATTATTATTATTATTATTGACGTTTCGTAAGTTTCTCTTTGATATACGGGCCATTTGAAGTATACGTATATTAATTATCTATGGGTTTGTATTACTAGTATTAGTAAAATGGTATCATCGTGTGCTCATAACACACAGATGTTTCATTACTTTTCATTCAATTATTTATCACAAGTAATTTTTATTCAACCGTTATCAAGTGACTAATATAATTAGTTAAATGAACCATTTGCATACGATTATTCGAAATGTTAACTAGTGTAATAATTGTGTATAACGAAATAGAACAATAATTGTAAAAAATAATAAAAATAAAAAAAACAAATCATCGAATCTTTTTTTTTTTTTTTAATGCAACAGTGCAGTGCAGTGCAGTGCAGTGTAATGTGCACTTCAGTTTAAACGAATCGATACGAGTTATACAATTTTTCTGAGTTGTATCTTATTTTTTTTCTAACCTTGTGAAAAAAGTGCAACGTGTAAATTGTGTTCAACGCGTGTGTGTGTTTGTGTGTGTCTATGTGTGTGCGTTTTATTTTAATTTAAAAATTAAATTGTTCTTTCATCGAATATAAAAAAAAAAAAAAATGAATCGAAACGATTCGTGCAAGTGTTTGGTATGTTTTATTCGTACGTGTCAAATGTTTAAATAAATAATACATATTGTAAGATTAAGATAACACACAATGTGATCAAAATGATTATCTTTATTTTATCTTTTATGTTTTTTTTCTTCTCTTGTTCTCTGTCTCCCTCTCTCTCTCTCTCTCTGTCTTTCTCTTCATAAATTGCATGCATTTTAACACGTTTAGTAATACACCTGTTGGTTTGCTTTGGTTACTTGATTGTACTTTTTTTTTCAAACATATTTGTTTTTTATTTTTTTTTTTTTTTATTTCTATTTTTATCTTTATCTCGAAGAATTAAATCACCGTTTTATGATACACTGTTCTTTATCCTGCTTTTTTTTTTTTGTTCGTTAACATTTAACAAGTGTGACGATTAAAGGAAGATCCTCTGAGGAATTATGCGTGGCTTTACGAGAAAAAAAGAATTGTCGGCTTGGAATGGTATTAAAAACTTTTCATATACATATACACGTGTTTTATATATAAATGTATGTGTGAGTTGTGTGGGGGGGGGAAACTAACCGTAAGAAGTAAAAGCGAATAACGTTTAATCTCACTTTATACTGTATAAGTACTTAGAGACAGGCTTATCTATTTTTCTCGAAATCGTTTAAATACCATAACGCTTAGGTAAAAGTATTTTTTTTTTTTTTTGAACAACGAACAAGGAAAAGAAAATCCTTTTTGTTTCTTTTTTTTCTCTTCTCCTTTTTATCTTTCTTTTCTTTCTGTTAGTTGGTCGGTTGGTTGAACTGGAATTGGATCTACTTACATATGCATTATATTTCATAAAGGGGGTTGGTTGTATTATTATTATTATTATTTTATGAGAACATTCAGATAATAAGATAAACGAAAAAATATTTTATTTTTTTTACCAATACAATAACAATTTATACGTTATTGTGTTAATATGTTTTTTTTATTTTTTGTGTTCATTAAAAATCATAATTGTTTTAGGTATGAACAAATAGAAAATAAAATGAATACAGTAGGATTTATAGAATTAATTTTAACAAGTTAGGAAAATGAGATGTGAATTGATATTTTTTTTTTTTTTCTATGAGTTTCGAATAACCAAAAAAAAATTTTAAATAATTGTAAAATTACACACATATACGTTTATTATTTTTATTTATTTTTATTCGTCATAATTCGTCATCCATATATATATATATATATATATTAGTCACGAAGAACACTCCTCGTGAGTAAGAGAAAAATAGAAAAAAAAAGAAAAAAAAAGTAATTATCATTTGCTGTTTAAATAACCGGATATTAAATAGTAAAAATGTTTTACGAGCGACTTTGAAAGGTGCGGTTTGAAGTAGATTAGAAAATGTTCTATTCAAAGTAGTCGTTTGTATTCTATCTAACGACATTATGATAATTATAATTATTAAACTACATAACAATATTATTTTATTTATTTATATAGTCTAATATAAAAATTTGTTAATTATGTAATTAGTTACAAATAATATATTATATTTATATATTTATATAAATATTATAAATATATTATTGTATAATATATATTTTATAATATAATTATGAAAATATTGAAATAATATTATTTATACTGATAATAAATAATAATACTATTTTTAAAAATAATAATAATAATAAATATAATAATATAAATACTACTTTGTTATATTAATTAATAATACTTATATTTAGTAGTAGTAGTAGTAAGTGGGTTTTTATTGTATGCCCTGTTACTTATATTTAGTATTATATTAATTATACTATTAATTACTACAATTAAACATAAATTCTATGAAATATTTCTCAAATTATAAATCATTATTAAAAATAATCAATCAAAAATTATTTTCCTTATAAATAATATTACTTCATATAAGATAAAAAAAAAAGAAAACTTGATAATAAACTCTCTTAAACAATATTATACAATGTTCATCTTACTAAGGTTATAAAAATGGTTGAAAAATTCGTGTTATTATTCGAAAGATATCAGAGATCAGAATACTTTAGTATTTTCTTATTTTTTTATTTTTTTTTTTTTGTAAAACGTGAGATTGGAAAATTCCTAGAATAGCATTTCGAGTGGGACAAAGTGGTTCTTCCTATCGTCCGAGTGCTGCAAGCGGCTTATCGTCTTTATCCATGGAGAGTATGACTATGGGGGTGAAGGGTTGAAATGGTTCAGGGATAAGATAGAGATGGTGGTGGTAGTAGTGGTAGTGGTGTGGTTTGCTTCGAAGATTGAATTCGATTTTTCCGATAGGACAAAGAATAACAACGATACTGTTATGCTTTTATTTTTCCTATACTTTTAGTGACACCATAAAGTTCCAAATATAAACAAATAAACAAACAAAACAAAAAATAATACAAAATGTAATATTTTTTATTATCTTAGATTATCATCTTATCTTCTTCTTCTTCTTCTTCTTCTTCTTTAATCACACGTTCACCCCCTTTTTATTTTATCTTCTTTTCACACGTTCACCCCCTTTTTATTTGATCTTCTTTTCTTTTTCATGTTGTCATCTTCTTCTTCTTCTTCTTTTTCTTCTTTTTTCTTCTATTTTCTTATTCTTATTCTTATTTGTAGATTTTACCATCTCTGTTACACGTTTAAAGTCAGGCATCCCTGTGAGTCAGGTAGTGGCACTTGAAAGAAGTGCACTTGACACCCCCCGTTCTACATATTCTCACAAAGTCACTTGGAACTTGTATACTTACGTACCGAACGAGTTTCGAGTAGCTAAATAGAAGAGAACTACTACTATATATAACTATACATATATATATAGTTAGTTATTTGCGTGTTTAGTTTTAGTTTTCAATTAAATACCCTTTTAATGAACGTGATTTTAGCGTGTATTGACTTTCGATAAAATTAGGGTGGGTAGAAAACAAATCGTGTCTCTTAACCATCTTTTGTTATCTTAACGAGAACACTTTAAGATTAAATCCAATCAATTGACGATTTTATTTTATTCTGTGCTTATCTTTTGAACAAGATTTGTTAAAGAAAAAAAAAAAAGAAAAATCACTTCAATAAAAAAAATATCAAATCGATAGGATATAATTGACACAATCGTTTTGAATAAACGAACGAATGAATGCGTTGAGAATGAAAGGGTGTAGTTGAGAAGGGAATAAACGGGGGTTGTTTGCTTGATGATGATCAAAAATAAAGTGAGAAAAAACGAGAGTTTTGAATCATGTTTTTTTTTATATTTTTTTAATTATTATTATTATTAGGGAAACAAATTGTCAATTAAAACTGATATTAATAATTTTTGGTCTAGTGTTTTATTGTTCACGTTTTATGTCATCATAAAGATTGACATTTGTAAATGTATATATATTAAATAATAATAATATATTATTAATAATAAATATCTATTGTAAATTAGATGCAATTTTTTTGTTTAAGACCAAAAATATAATAAATTAAAATATCAATTTAAATATTGGGATCTCTGGGATGGGCGGCGGTGGCCGTAGCAAATGCGACCTATCTACTCTAATTTTGAATTTAGCCACCAGATAGCGTATTCAAGTGCTACAGTTCCCAATAGGTTAAAAATCATTGATCTTTTTCATTTGATTAATCGAAGGACCATCGGAACAAATTGTCGTCAAAATGTATAAACCGTATTTTTTTTTCTCTCCCCTTTTTTTTTTTTTTTTGATTTATGCGGTCTCTCTGTGTCATTTTTTCATCACTTTTTTTTTTCATAGTCGGGGTTTCAATTTACGCGGTTAGAAAAAAATGTATTTTTATTATACACACATTTTGTACAATACGTGTCAGTTTTTTTTAACGTCGAACGTTTATATACATTTTTTTTTTTTTACAACAAGTCAACATTGATTTAATATTAGATTGTGCGGAAAGTAATTTCGTATTTTTCTTGACACAATTTTTGTAATTGGTTAATGCAAATTGGCAAATAACAACATGTGAAATCGTTAATAGATTAAATTTATTAAATTAAACTATTTAAACTCACTCGAAAATCCAAAGTTTAATCTCGAAACAAAAATTGTCTTCATTTTTACAAAAATAAAACAAAATTACTTTCCGCACAACCCAATATTATTGGGGTAGATATTACATTTCTAATATTATTATTATTATTATTAAAGAATATATATTAATAATTATAATAATTTTTGAACAGGTGGGCATGGAAAGAAGAGACATGATCTTAACAGCAGTATTTGGAACAGTTGGTGCATTGGCAGTTATCGTTGCATTGGGCTTGGCAGTGTGGTTTTACATTCGTGCGAGAAAATCTAAACAACGTGACGACGACCTTGAGGATCCTAACGAGCACAGCACAGAGGGTGGTGGTGGAAGTGGTACAACTGGTCTTCAAACTCAGTCAACCAAAAAGAATGGTTTCTTAAATTTAAAGACATGTCTTATCAGCACGAAAACTCTTGGGTAAGTCATTTATTATATTTTCTTTATTTTTCTACGAAGAAATAGAAAGAAACCAAAAAAAAAAAAAGAATACACGTTACCTTTAATCACCATTTAATTCATAGTGAATTTAGGGAAGGTCAAGGACGAATAAGTAGAAGAAAAAGGAAGGGGTTGATAACACAACGTGGCCTCGTTTGAAGAAAAAACAAAAAAAAAAATTCACGGAAAATGATTACATCGTTATCAACCTCTTCTAATTTTTTTTTTCTTTCTTTTTTTTTTTTTTGGTTCTTTACAACCAAACCAGATTTTTCATTAATCACATTTCTCTTTTTTAATTTTTTTTTTTTTTTACCCTTCATTTTAGGATTTCTAACGCGAAAGATGAACAACTCTTAGTCTTTTTTTATTATTTTTTTTAATTCAAAACTTTAATCTCGTTGACGCAATTTTTAATAAGGGGTGGGGTGGGGGTGGGGGATTTAGGTGGGATAAATTTTTTTGAGCAACAAACGAATTTAGTTTGTTTAATTAGGTCATAAACGTTAATATCGAGTATGTCATTAGGAGTATCTGATTAGTATGAAGGACTATGTCTATATGCTAAGGGCTTCCGTTAATGAACTACGACATTTTTTTTTTAATATAGGAAAATAAAAATCATCTAATTTCTCGTCATTAATTTTTATTATCATTTTAAGGAACAAATTAGTCTAATGATTCTTTTTTTTTTTTTTAATTATTTTTATGGATATTTTAAAGTCAACTTTACTAACGTAGTTAATCATTTTATTCGCAATAGTTAAAGTTGATTCTCATTGGATAACTTTGGTGTTTATCGTAGTGTAATAAGTTACCGACTGTGTTTCAAATTTGATGAATAATTTGTTAGATTTATAGATTCCTGTATTACCGACAAAAGGATACCTGTTTGTTTCATTCTGATAAGTCGTAGGTAGAGAATGATTGATATTTTGATTAAAATCTATTTTTTCAACGAGTAATTTTCGTTTTTACTCGTTGAGGAGAAACCTGTCTTTTCATTTGTGAATAATACAAAAAGTGAATTTTTATATAAAAAAAAAAAAAAAAAAAAAAACATTATTATTAAATATATTTACAAATGAGGGTTGAAAAATCAATCATTCAGAACAAATTTGTAAAACTTGTAGGATTAACAACAAATGGAATTATTTTACGATAAATTAAATAATATTTCTACAATTTTAAACAATATTATCATAATTATAAAAAGAAAAAAGGAAAGATAATATAATTGGATGATAAAAAAGGGGTTGATTTAAAGGAGGTTGTTATCTCATTCGTTTGGAATACGCCTAAAGGGAAATGAGATATTTAATTTTCATTGAAATAAAAAAATTTCTACGTACATTGAAAAAAAAAAAAAAAAAAAAAAAAAAAAAAAAAACCAAAGAAAAAAACATAGTCGAATAATAAAACGTTGATACTGATAGTGGTGATGGTTCTTTTCATTTCGAACGGAAATTTGATATCAAGTGAAGTGATAACAACAAAAAAAATTAATTGAACCATCAAGTTTTTGGGTCCACCATTCTCCCCCTTTCACCGTAAAACTCAAACGCGTTTTTTCGTAACTGGGAAAGACGACTTTTGGGTGATTCGGTGATTCAATCGCATTCTTCCAATTGATTGAATTTTATTCGATCTACACTTCCTTTTTATATATCTATATATATATGTGTTTTTATCTCTCTTTCTCTTCTTTAGTTTCAAGTTTCATCGCAGTAAATACCAAGTTGTTGTGTATGTGTGTGTGTGTTTTTTTTTTATTTTCAAACTCACATTTCATTCTTCTTCTTCTTCTTCAAAAGAACATTCATTCGTTTCGTATTTCTGAAAAACAAAGAGGGACACTTCTTCAAAAATTGATTTTCCATTCGCAAAATTTCGAGTGAACAAATAGAAAAAGGTTAATAAAAACATCGAGAAGGAAGTGGCCTTGATCTTCCATCGACAAAATTGTTTATTTATTTAATTTTCTTAACGACGTGATGGTAGATTGTTCGTATGAACAACACGGTACGCGTAACGTTCGTAAATCAAATTCACGGCGCCATAAGGCGCTGTTCACTCAAGGCAAAGTGTCCATAGTCGAGCGCCAAAAGAAGCTGTTCGTTGAAAGAAAACGTCTATGAACGAGCGCCAAAAGGCGCTAGTTCGCAACGAAAGGATTAATACGTTGAGGGTTGTGTCAGTCATCGGTGACTGACATTAGACTTTCCATTGAGACAGCGTCAGTCACAGGTGACTGACATTTTCACCTATTTTTTTTTTTTTCAATACAAAGTAACACCTGTGGCCTGACAAGAATTTCTCGAAAAATTCACGTGACGTTCAACGTGTTAAAGGATAAATTTTGACGTCATATTTCGGAACTTTTCATTCAACATTTTCCCTTTATTCACTTTTTTCGTTTGCTTACTGTCATACTTTCTGAGCTATTCAGTTGACAAGTGTTGGTGAAACATCCTGTATATGAACATTGTTTAAAGAATAACAACGTCGAGGGGGGGGAGGAATATACGATAAATAAAAACTACCCTTATCGTTTTACTTTTACGTCAGATGCGTACTGAAATAACAAAAAAAAAAAAAAAAGAAAGAAAAGAATTCGAAGAACAAAAATGAAAGGGTGAAGAGAATTTCCCATTTTCTCCCCTTTTTTTTTATTTTTTTTATTTTTTTGTTTTGGTTTCTTTTGCCATTTCTTTTCAATACCTTTTTTTTCCGTTTCTGTTTCACCTTTTTGTTTTGTTCTTCGAATTCTTTTCTTTTCTTTACTATCGGTCGCTTATCTTTCGCATTTGTTTTTTTTTTTGTTTTCTTTTTGTATAAGCCGTTGTTAGAGATAATTCGCGAATCGAAGGTTTTCTTTCACTACAAAGCATATAACTGTGATAGTAGTGATATGATATTGCAATAGTAGTGGATAATAAGGGGGTAGCAATTGCACCAATGTGAGAAAGAATTGTCTCTTGTTTGTGTTGTAACGATGAGAGAAACATACAAAGGAAGACAAATCTATTATAGTACAAAAAAGAGGAGAGAATATTTTTATAATCTTCGTTTAACTCACTTCCCCCTTCCCCCCTCTAACCCCTGTATACATTGTTTTTCTTTTCCCCCTTTGTTAATTAATCTTATTATTATTATTTGTTTCTTAGCATTTATTTTACGAATTGCATTTAAAGTTGACTCTACTACGTTCGTGACTGCGCTCGTGAAAAATGTCTCGTGTTAGAAATGATTTTTCTAATTTTGTTCTTTTTTTGTTTTTTTTTTTTTTCTCTTTCTTCACTTCTTCTACTTCTACTTCTACGTCTACATTTTTTTCTTTTATTTTGAAAAAACTAGTAGTAGTAGTAGTAACTTTTTCTAAATGTAATATCAGAACGAAGAAATAACTAAGTTGAACACCTCAAGCAGCATTGATTTTGAAAAAAGAATCATTGAATCAAAAAAATCATTTTTTTTTAATTTTTTTGCATAAAAACATAGTTTAGAATATTGTTTTGAGAAAAAAATTAGAATCATAAAAAAAAAAAATACAGAAATAATCAATATTTATATGTTAATTTTGAATTTTGTTCCACATTGCAGAGAGAAGAGTTGAATATTACAATGTTACACGTACGTCATCTTTTTAATGTTTCTTTTTGAATTGTTTATCTATCCTATCTTTCAAGTTGAATGAAATTGCACACAGTGTGCAAAATTTGATTAAAATCGGTCCAGTAGTTTAGAAGTCCATTACGTACAAACAACGTGACATGTAATTTATATACATTAAGAAGATAAGAAGATAAGAAGATGATAAAATAATTAATATTTTTAACCCTTTGGGTACATTTGACGAGTGAGACACGTCATCTGCTTACTTAGGTATTTTATTTTATTGATAATATTTATTAATATTTAGTAATGAAAGTGTTGTTGCAAAAATATAATATTTATATCATCAATATAAATTTTTGAAATAATTCAGTACTCAAAAGGGTATTAATAATATAATTATTTATAATATTATTTTATTTTTTTTTTCTAATATAAAAATAATGTTTATATATTAACCGTTTGAGTGCCAAGCGGCGCGATCGCGCTTCTTCTGTCCTGTCTTAAAAACTGCAGCGCTCTGAGCTGCGAAGCCCATAATTACAGCAGGCGCGGTTTCTCTCGATGCACAACTTTACGGTAACCTTTCAATCTTAAAAAAAAAAAAAAAAAAAAAAAAAAAAAAAAATAATATTATTAATAATATTATTTATTCTTTAAATAATATTTTTATATGACTTGAACGCACTGATGTCACTAAGAACTGATACACAGGAGACTGCACGTAAATAAACTAAAAACAGCGCAATCGCGCTGCTTGGCAAATTTCGACGCGGAATATAACAAGCGCTATCGCGCCGCTTGGCAAGTTTCGATCAGGAAATGAGAAAAGCCCGTGGCACTCAAACGGTTAAATTTATATTTTTTAATTTTATCAAATCTAATTATACAAAATAATATATTTTTTTTTGTTAATCAATAAAAGAATGAAAAAAAAACAATAGATAATTGACATAAGGATAGAAAGTTAAAAAAAAAAAAAAAAATGTGTTAATCTTGATATATATGTGTGTGTGTGTGTGTGTGTGTACGTTCTCAAAGCTTCGAATGCAGCAGCATAGGCGAGAAAGAAAGAAAGAAAANAAAAAAAAAAAAAAAAGAAAGAAAGAAAGAAAGAAAGAATGAACGAGTGCAGTGGTCATTGACAGACAGTTTTCTATTTCTGCTTCCATTGTTTTCACCTGAAAACCGTGGAACATCTCATGATCATGGGTTTTTATCTCTTCCTATCTATCTATCTATTCTATCTATTCTATCTATACTATCTATTCTATTCTATCTATCTATCTTTCTATTTAATCTTTCTCTCTTTCTTTGGTTCGTCTCAACGCGATATGATGCCCAGCGTACAGGGTAGGTAACAG